GCAGCAGACACATACAAGAAACCCACTGGTCCTTTATGGACGAAGAAAGAAAACACTTTAAAAGCTTGAGTTTAGCTGTGAATTTGGCACAGGTTCCAGGTTACATTAAAATACAGTGGAGACGGGGGCTGGTTGACACACTTTATAGCAAGTGAAAGTCTCCGGTAGAAACCTTTGTAAGTCTTTTACTGAAAAGTTTCCTGCCAGAAAATACGCCATAATTGAGACTGTGACAACTTAGGCTGATATATGACTGTTAGCACGGATTGCAGTTTGTTCATAGACCCATTCTCATGAAAACAGTGATTAATAGTAATAACGTCTGTTGCTAAATACCCAGCTGTATGCTGTATGGTCATGGACATAAATTAAATACAATATAAAGATTAAAAACGACGTAAAATATGCTTTATTAGACATTTATTTGCCTCATTGATACATTTCCATTGTTTTGACCTTCTTGACATGCAGAAAGTCTCTTTATATTTTCTGAATTTTATTGTTAAGGTTTTCTTTTTTTGGAATAACCAACGCCATTATGATTAGTATTTAAAGGGTTATCAGGTTATTGATTGAATAAATAACTCAGAAGACTGAGTCAGCCATGTTCTTGAGGACTAACGTGTGCACAGATGTTTGTTTCTCCCAATTCCTTCTGAGCTGACCCAATATACTACATCAAATATTCACAATAAAAACTCACTTTCTTGAAATACAACATCTGATTCCACTTGTTTTAAAAGTTACACTGTAACCTTCCCATTAATCCTTCAAGATTTTGTCATTCTCTTTATCATATCATAGCACCATGGTGGCCAATATCAGTAATAAAAATGTTATTGAAACAAAACACTGTTACACTTTATACCAAATATACCAGATCTTGAAATATTTTCTTTAAGGACTTTAATGTTGTTTCAGGTGTGTAATGTGTTGAGTGCCTCATGCAAGTAGCAGAGGTTCTGTCTGCAAAGAGAAGGGAATGTATCTTTTTATTAACTGATAACTAATTTTTCAGCTTAATTTATCATTAGAGGCTACATGCTGATATTAATAGCCGGGTATTCATAGACTTCGCTAACTTGGCTTTCGACTGGTGGCTTGAATTGAGAGACAGAAGAGAGATGGTGACCCAGATTAATGGCCCTGTTTTATAAATTCAGGGAAGTAGGCTCTGACTTTTTAACGGTGACATTGTCATTAACTCTGGAGACTTGAACAGAAATGGGGCAAATCACTGGCAGATAATTAATTTAGCTCCCTGGAGACGAACTCTGCTGGTATATTTGGAGTTTTTGGAAGAGGAATAGAAAGAAAGAAAGAAAAAGTAAGAAGGTAAGGAGAAAAGTAAGTAGGCAAGACAAACACATAATGCAGTATAAGCCACATTCGGTCGTGTCACACGTCTTCTGGGTGTTGTTGCATTCATATTAAAATGTGGTTAGCTGCTTGTGAAGTTGACCTTATTCTACTGTTGACATCAGAGCATCAGCCAAATGTCTAAAGTGGATGTGCATGAATGTCACCTTGCATCGTGTATTAGCCGGATGTGGCTTTATTGAACGCTTCACTCACATAACAACAGACGCCCAAGAAGAAAACTTCAGAGACGTATTGTAGATAAAAAGTATTTCTGCTGGTTGAGACCTTTTTTTTTTTAAATGTACGCAGGTGAATCGAGGGACTTATTCCAGGAGGAGCCGCCTCAAGCGTTCTGATGGCAGCACCACCTCCACCAGTTTCATCCTCAGACAGGTACTGATATACAAACAAAGGAATAGGATGTAAGATAGAAATCAGTGTCTGTCACTGGTTGTAAACAGTTTGGATTGTCATGGACATTTTAAACTATTTATCAAAGGTTATATATGAGATTTAAAACATTAATATAGCAGCAAACAACTATTAGCTATATAAAGATATAGTGGAGTCGTGGTGTCCTGAGCAGAGAATGATGTCACTGTCCCTCTGCCTGTGTTGCTATCGCAGCCTCTGTGGTTTGTTTACAAAACCTGTCTGGCCATCTGGTCATGTTAGTGTAAAAGTATGTCTCTCCATCTACATCTGAGTAGAGCGACTGAAACTGCTGTATTTCTCACCTACCTCTGTGGATTAAGGATTCATTTCAACCAAACCAGAGTTGATGTTTGTCAGAAGAGTTAAAAGTCTAACTAAGAAATGTCTACTTTTGTCTATGGCGTGTGGCGGTGAGTGATTAAAGTGAGTGTTAAAAAAAAAAAGGTCTATCTCTGTAGGGATCCTTTCCATAGTGTTTTCAGACACGTAGAATACCAATCTGAGCCTGTCAGTGGCAAGAAGTTAGTAAACGTTCTTTGACAGTCAAATTTGTCCCCAAGGATTAGCTAACATTATACTGCAGCCATTGTAGCTCGTTTTGTGGCTATTTTCTCATCTAACTCAGTGAATCAAGGATTTTCCTTTGACCAAACCAGAGTTGGTGATTGTTGGAAAGTCTAACAAAGACGGTGAGTTTCATTTTCTTTCTGTCCAGTTTGTAGTGTGTTTCATGAATATCTGTGGGGTAAAATGACTGGTTTTGTCAATGGAGTCTGGTGGGCCGTAGTGCACATTTTCTTTTGGTCTGTGATGCCGGTGCTCTAGTGCATCACCTAGTGGCAAGTGAATATTGTATAAATAACCTTAGACAGAGGATTTGTTACATTCAAAGGTTCACTTTCAGGGTAACTACATATTGCACATGGAATATTGCATTTTGCATCCCACGGTTTTCTTCTGAAATGGTAACACGGTTCTTCTAAATCCTCAAGAAAAACATCATTCATGACTCTTCTTCACCATCACAGTAATGCTGGGAGACCTGAAAGTGTTTCCACAGTTTGAGGAGAGTGTATGACCTGCTTATAAATATAGTCATAAGAGTAGGATGGTCAGGCCATGTTTCCATAGTAAATTAGACTCTTTCTTATAGTTAACCTTCTGTGCACATTGTTTATGGTTAAATGCACCCTGTAGAGTTCGTGACCACTATGCAGCAATGTTTAGATGATAATTTTTCAGAGATGTTTGTGTCACATCGTCCACCATGACATGTATGAGAACACATGTGCATGACACAACCACCGCACTGACTTGATGCACATCACTGTCGACTGCAGAGGGCAGTGATTCACTGCCAGTAGACGGTAGCAATGTACCAGTTAAAGAGGAGACTGAGCAGGTTTTACAGATTTGTCGTACACAAAGCATGTTTGTCTAATACAAAACAGGCCCAAAGCATACAGAATATGTTGAATTACAGGGCCATTCAAATGTGCATGCATTGCCAGGTTATCTCTCTGTATTCATTTGTAAAAGATGCAGTTTAGATAACCCTTAAAACACCATTCTTATGTCAGCTCCTCACTGGAAAGATCACAGAGCATTTTCATGTGTTGGATTCGAATAAAGTGTTCAGCTGTGGCTTTTTATTATTTCCTTTTCATAATAAATTATGGAAGATATGATAAGATAAGTGTCAGCACAGGTATCAGTAAACAAATGAGATTTTACACTTTACACAATCTGCAATATTTCAACCCTACCTCCTTTTACAATTCTTAGTGTTATATTATTATATTATATTATATTATTGTTATATATAGTTATATTTCAATTCCTCAGCTTAGACGCAGACTTAACCCCCCCTACAGAGCGTAAGTGGCCACTGATGTGACGTACAGTGCTAGATACCAGTGGCGAGGGGAAGGAAGGGAGGCGTCACTTTGTTAAGCTCTCTGCTTTAAGTGTAACGTATAGATGGAGTGTGCAATATTTATGTGCTGTGTAATATAACTTTATTTGTAACTTAATATAGTAGATAGATTTTTTAACTGGTTTTAATGGTCATTTCCAACAGGTTTTACTAGGTATTTGTCCACAGAAGGGTTCCATTAAGTTTTAGTCCTTTTAACAGTTTTATGGGGTACTAATGGTTATTAGTGGTTTTTAGGATGGTCTAGAGCAAGTATACTGTAAGTGGTTTCTGTGGCTGCCTGTTTGATGGTGTTGTAGATTTGCTTGATGTTTGCACTTATTTGTAGGGGTTATTTTCATTATTAAATAATCTGTTGATTATTTTCTCGATTAATGGATAAGTTGTTTGGACCAGAAAATGTCAGAAAAAATTGGTCAAACATGTTGATCACTGTCCACAACCCAAAGATATTCTGTTTACTGTCATAGAGCACTAAAGAAACAAGAAAATATTCAGATTTGAGAATTGAATTTTGACTTTTTTCTTAAAAAATGAATCAAACCGATTCATCAATCAAAATAGTTGGCAACTAATCTGTTAATTGATTAATCGTTGCAGCTCTAATTATTTGGTTTATCATTGCAACCAACTGAATACCGCTCACCTTCTAAGTGTGTAGGAGAAATAACACTGGTTGTGAAAACACAAATCCCTATCTAGAGTCAATGTTTGGTTTGACTGTTCTGGGCTACTGTAGAAACATGGCATGATTATACTAATATACTGAAAACATACCTATAAATATTATATTCCATTTCTGCCAATAGATCCTCCTAAATGTTACAAGCTGCACCTTTAATTAAATAAATGATTATTGTTTGAATGGTTATAGCTAAATAAATGTAATATAATATAAAATGAAATATGAAACAAAATAAAACATTTAGGTGGGGTGCACTGGAGTTAATTTTGACTATTAAGTGGAAATACACTGCCATTTTTAAATACATGTATCCAATGTTTGAATTCATTAGACCTCCTTGTATTATCAGAATCAGACTGAATGTATTTTTCTGAAGAATTAATAAGCAGAGTGAGAATGAGAGGTAACAAGGAAATGGAGGATGCTGCTCCCCCCTTTACTCCTCCATCCCCCTCCCCCCGATCCCCGCTACTTCCCCGCACTAGAAAAAAAAAAAAAAAAATCAAGGAGAGCGCTCATCCAAGCTGAGTGGACAGCCAGCCAGCCAATCAGCTCCTTGCACATTGGCTCTGTCATCAGGCTTGGATATTGAGGAAGGATCCACTGCTCTGCTGCTGCTGCTGCTGCTGCTGCTGCCGCCTCTGCTGCTTGTTGTGTATATGTATATGTGTGCGTCTGTGTGGGTGTGTGTGCGTGTGTGTGTGCGTGGAAGCCTGATGAAATGAAATGCCAGGATTGGGCTACCTCCAGGGAGAGCCTCTCCATCCTATAATGTGAGCCAGCCAGCAGCACTGTGGGATCAGGGAGAAGCTGCATCTATCAAGCGACGGGCCTCCGGAGGACCAGGCGTGATCCAACGGGAGGGGAGATTTTTAAAAAAAAAATTATTCTTCTCTGCTGTGGAGAGAAGCAATTGTCGTCATCCCCCCATCCATCCTTTTTTTTTCTCTGTGGTGCCCCCTCCTTCCTCCTCCGCCTCCACTCTCATTTTTTCCCCCTCATTCTTCTAGAGGCGCTCGTTGGAATATCAAACCTCCATGTATGACAATTTGTACCTGCATGGATTTGAAGACTCGGAGGCGGTGAGTGTTTGGATGCGTGTGTGAATCTTCTTTTGCGCTCTCTTGCTGTGTGTTTATTGATGGAAGTAGCTCAGCTGTGCACATATACACACACACACACACACACACACACACACACACACACACACACACACACTCACACACACATAAGAGGCCTTTGATGGGTTAGCCAACGGTACAGTGTAGCGTGATCGTGGGCTATGCTTGGCTGGAAGGGGGTTGGGTGGGTGGGTGTTAGTGTGTGTGTGTGTGTGTGTGTGTGTGTGGTGGGAGTGCACATTAGGCAGATGGCTTCTGACGTGTGACATTCACACAGTTCTGTATATGTTTGCCTATATCTGTATGTGCGTGTTATGTGTGGTTCTGTATGTGTTCCTTATAAACCTGTAAGAATGGATGTCAGGAAACCACCAGAGCCAGGAGGAGCCATTTAGTGTTCATCACACTCTGTACCTCTCAGAGATGGACCGAGCCGTGATTCAAAGAGGAAGATGGAAAGATGTAAATGACCAGTTTCTCCCCTAAGGCCCCTTACATGGCCACACTCAGATGATGAATTCTCATGTCACATTTTTACATTTAAAAAAAATATAGGCGAGTATTTCTTAGCTGAGCCTGCGACTGCGTGTCGAGGCTCACAGAAACATGCATTGTGATGTCATTAAGTGGATTCTGATGTTGATGAGTCACATGCTGAAGCTACTCCATTGGATAATGGCTCGGATGCTACAGTGCAACCTCAAAGCTTCCACTCAGATACATGAAATGATGTTCAGAGTGACTTTTTACTGTTGGATTGGATGTTTTAGAAATGGAGGTGAAATGGTCTTGAGAAAAATACATTAAATATTATAAGGTAATTGCAAACTTTTTTATCTTTGTATGTGTATGTAATATCACAATCATATATATGACTAAAAGTAGTTCTCCAGCGATTCAGTATTGCATTTCCATAAAGGTTATGGACCCTCAAGAGACATGTTTAAAGAAGGATTGTCGCAGTCAAAGCAGCAGAGGCTGACATGTCCTCACGTTTAGTGCTTAGTAAAGGTTGAACTCATAAAATACTGGATCCTATAATTCCCATAATGCGACTCACTATCATTTTCCATCAGACCCACCCTGCCTGGTAAATCTTTCAAACTCCACATTGCCAGTTTGTAACGCAGGCTCTCTGTTAACTTGCTCAGGCTTAGATAACCCTGATGACATCACTATGACATCACCAGGGGTTCATCTCTGCCCCTTTAATGAAAATGGCCGAAGATGATATGAACAGTCTACAGGAAAAAAAATTCCTGTGAGAGTGCTGTATCTGTTACTCTGTAATCTGTTCATTCTTGGAAATGGTAACCCAGTAAGGTTACATATCCCCTCCAGACATGGATTAAAACAGTGTTTCTCAAACGTTTTACACTGTGTACCACCTCAGACAATATTACCATTATGATTGACGTTAAAATACAGTAACCTAGGCCGACAATAGCTAATTTGGTGGAAAGGGGGTGCTCCCCGTCCACACTTCTCTTCCTAATAGTTTCTGTTTGGAGCCACGGCTGCAGTGTTTTTTTACCTCCACTTACTGTCTTGCCATTACATTTTATCTCTTAACAAATCATGAATGTGACTATGTAGCTGGCTGATTGAAAAACCTCCAAAACTTATTTTAGATTAGATAACAGTGATCTAATATTGTAGTATTTTGATTATTAGCATTATATGTTTTAACATATATCTTTTTATTTAAAAAATACATATTTTTCTTAGAGATTAGACTAGAGGCAGCTTGCGTACCCCCAGTATAAAAAAGTATTATTTCCACATTGAAATTAAAAAGGCTTCTACCTTATTAAAAATTCCAGAATCTATGAATATGCAAATTTTGTTCATTTTTTCAAGACGTCTCCTACTTCACTGTTAAGTCCATTCTCAGTGTATGTGCACTGGTGGCTTTAAGTTTCTACATCACACTGTATAAATTGCATAATGGACCAGGGTTGACTTCCAAATTATTTGTGATGTCACAAAGTATGTTCGTAGGCCCCGCCCCTAAGAAATCTGATTTTCAATGAGCACAGATAAACTTTCCACTTTCAGCAGATGAATGTGAAAACATCCTTCTGGTGTGAAACTCTTCACAGACATCATTCTGCACAGTGAAGATCAAACATCCGGCTGTAGGAACAAGAAGAAAAACAGATATTTGACTCAAGGGGACTTTAATATTTCCTAAAATTAGGAAACCGTTTAAATTCCCCAAATGTGCCACTTTGTGACTGGATGCACACGATCCAGACGAGCAGTGTGCTGAAGTCAGGCCTTGCTACTGCTAGCTTGTAAAAACCAAAAAGTGCTTAGCTGTGATGACTAGCTTGATCGATCTTCTTGAGACTAATGGCCTTCCTTAATTGAATCATCATTAGTGGCTGATTGTTTACATTAACACAGCAGAAGGAAGCACTTCGTCCAGGCATGTCCCAGCAAAAAATTTTGCATTACTGGAATTCTCACTGTGTGGCAGAATGGACTACTGCAAGACAAGCATGTCTCAAGGCACTAAAGTGATAAAAATCCCTGACAGTGTGCAAGAAAATGGACAGCAAGGAAATACTGCCATTTAAATATCCACTGTATGCGCCTCTGTGACCTCAATGCAGAGATGTGTAATTGAATGATAAAAGTACCAGTTATTTTACAGTATTTGTCCAGTATCAAAACACAGATGAGTCCTTATGCTATTCCTGCAGCTGTAATGCTGATCATGCTAGACATCACTGACTTGTTTGTGCTCTTTTTGGTTTGTTAGTTAGTAGCTTGAAAGTAGCTAAACTACTGGGTTTCTATACAGTTGATATCCATTTCATTGTGCATAAAAGCTTATTTCTTTGTTGTTGTTTTTTCGGTGTTAAATGTTACTGCTAATGATTCATACTGCTCTTGAAAGAGAGTGGAAATCATTTTCACTTGTCTCCATGTTTTTTTGGTGTGACTTAGCTTAAAGGGCAGAGGGCACATTTGAAAACTATGGCCTAACTAACAAAATCAGTCAGCCTTCAAAGATATGGTCAAATCCAAAAATTCTACTTCCTGGCTTCAGTCAGTTCAGCCAATCATGGCATACTTACATTGTTGGTGAAATACTGCACATTCTCAAAAAATAAAAAGTCTGTGGTTCGCCGCATGCATCCAAAATCCAAGGTTGTATATTTTTTTTGTTTGTACTGTCACTAACAACACCTGTACCAGCTAAAGTAAAACACAAAAGAAGTGATCGGAGTTTGTGAATGAGAATTAACAGTTTTTCTTTGTTTTGTCTGCAGTTTTGATTGACAATTATGGTGATTGTACTTCATTGTAAAAAGTTCCCAATGAAAAGTCAACAGCAAGGTCTGTGGATTACCGTATGGAAGCCCATTTCTGCCAAGAAAAGAAAAGAAAAAAAACATGAAAATGTAGGCACAATGAAAATAAAAAAATGAGTAAACATTTTGACTAAGTTAGATAGTGAGATACGAAGTAGGCCTGATTTGGAGAGTATTGTGAATTGTATCGAATTGTGAGTTGAGTGTATCGTTACATCAAGTACATACAAGTACATACAAGTCTTAACATGAAAAAAATGAAAATTGTTGCAAAATCCACATAGAAGTTTATGGTCAATTTTAATTGCAGCTCAAAATTGGTCAGTAATTGGATTTTTTCTCCTCTAAAGCTGGTATTGCTGTCAAAAAATCACATATCGGTCGGCTCTAAGTAAAAGGTTTCACTCCGTATCATAATTTTTCTTTACTATCATAATTTGGACATTGTATATCATAATTATTACTTACTATCTCTTAAGTTTGACTTATTACATACAAACTTGACTTACTGTCTCCTAAGTTTGACTTGCTAACTTATAATTTTGACAAAGTATACCATAACTTTAACTTTAACTATCTGATAATTGTGACTTACTGTCTTATAATTTTTTCTTATCATGTTCACTTACTATGAGGTAAGTAAGTACGTTTTTTCATCATTTGTTTTTTTTCCTTTTCATGGCGGAAATGGTCTTCCATATTATCATGACTAACCAGAACATTGATATTGCCACATATTTTAGTCTCTGATTATGTATGAGGTAACGTGTGGAAAATGTGTGCAAGGTGTGGATAGTCTGCAGGGTGTGTGTCAGTGCCACGTTTCATGACCATATGGAACGATTGCATGAGACACATCAAAGAAAAATGTATCCCCTGGCCCGAAAGATGCAGAAATATCCGAATTCATACAAACTTGCTGCTATCCAGAATTGTCTGGAAGTATGAGATGGGCTGTGTGTGGTCATACAAAGTGCTGACAGCACAGGAACGGAAATTCTACTTTGTTTGAGATTCTCCTGGCAGTCTGCTCTTTTCTACATCATTTCACCTGTTCTGTATTCAGAGTGCCAAGCCACCACTCTGGACTTGGCACTCCCAATGCAAGTTGATCTGAACACCAAAACCTGGTCCAATAAAGAAGTTTTTTCTTAAGTGGACCTCATTGTGATTTGCAGTTTTGATCTTTTGGCTGTCAATGGGATGAAGCTACAGCACATCTTTAAGAGCCTATACACTCTTTTTTGTCTTTTCAGAGAGTAATTGTAGGTCATTCGGGTGCATCTGTCCATACTTTTTTTGACTTTAAAGTCCTTGATGTTGGAACAGTGTCTCACTGTGTGGAGAGGTTTTGAGAATTGTTTTTCTCATTATTCCTGACTGCTATCTTAAATGGGTTTTCAGGGAATAAACCCTATTAGGAGCAGAGTGCTATTGTTCATCTGTGTTAGCCATGCCCTCATCACACAGTTACAGTACTGAGACCATTACAGACCATTTCCTGTAGCTCAAATGCAGCTTTGCCTACTGTACTGACTGGGCAGGGTGAATCTGGCTGACAGGAAAGTCTAGACTATTTTTAACTGCCTTTAGCAGGGCTGTAGTACTTGAGTCTGGTCTTTGTCTCAAGATATTTTCCCATTGTTTCAGACTGGTGGTGACCAAATTCTCCCAGTACCCCCCACAAGATCCATAGTCTATATTGCAGATGGCAGAATGTTGCTGGAAAAGACCACAGCCTGAACAATGTGAGTTTGTATCCTAGCTGTACAGTTCCAGTAACTGACTGTGATTTCTGTTTGCAGGGCTCAGCTGATTCATATACTAGCAGACCATCAGACTCAGATGTCTCTCTGGAGGAGGAGCGGGAGGTGCAGGCCCAGGTCCAGAGCCAGAGCCCAAGCCAGAGCCAAGGACCGGGACAGAGCCGCCAGGAGAGGGAGCAGCAGGCCACCATTCAACTGGAAAGAGCCAAGGTAGCCAACCTGTGACACTACTTAGCCAAATTCATCTGCAGCCATGTTTATATACACATACACTGACTAGTATTACTGTTGGCATGTTAATGTTTTTGCAGATTAAAGAGCCCCTCCAGACATGGATTAAGTCATAAAAAAAAACCCTGTTTGGAACAATGATATGTGTCTGATATGTTTGTTTTTCTTGCCAAAATAAAATCAATTTTCATATTAAAATCCTTCAAAAGTCCCTTAACAATCTACTACTACCTCATTATAAATTCCAGAATCTATGAATATGCAAATTCTGTTCACTTCTAAAGTTTTCCTGCTTCCTTGGAGTCTGGAAAATGAATGAGAACTGGCCACTTTAAAATAGAATAATGTTTGGATTCTCTGTTTCTCACTGGGTTTGTGTTTCCATCTTCCAGACTAAACCTGTGGCATTTGCTGTAAGGACCAATGTCAGCTATTGTGGCGCACTGGATGAGGATGTTCCAGTACCAGCCACAGCCATCTCCTTTGACGCCAAGGATTTCCTTCACATAAAAGAGGTACATGTGTACTTTTGATTAAACGTGACATCCACTATATCGAACTGCTCTGTGAATCTATGAAACATGAACTTACTGATTCAGAGATTCTCCCTGCATGTTTGTCGCTTCTTTTTTATGTTGTCCATCCTCAGAAGTTCAACAATGACTGGTGGATCGGTCGGTTAGTGAAAGAGGGCTGTGAGATCGGCTTCATCCCCAGCCCTCTGAAGCTCGAGAACATCCGGCTCCAGCAGGAGCAAAAGAGAGGACGAGTCCAAGGGTAAGTAACAGAAAATCACACTCATCTCACTTCTTGTCTGTCTCATAAACTAAACATCATAAGGTTACACAATAGTTAGTGTAAACACAAAAAAATTTGTTAGAGGGAATCGTAGGTCATTGTTGTACATTATTCTTTAAAATAATTGGGAATGTGGTATACTGACAACTGTACAACAAACTATAAAAGGCACTTAAGCTATGTAAGGACTTAAAAAGGAATTAATTCAATCAAAGTTCAAATCCCTGAAAGGAATGAAATAATGACCCTGGCAAAGATAGATTTTCTTTTCTATGGAAGACACATTTTTACTTTGCTTGCTTGGAGTAACAAGCTAACAACAGGCTCACTGGCTGAACTTTACCCTCTATGGCCGTCCACAGTTGGTCAAAAGTATCATTTAACCAGTCTTTTCATAGCCTTCATTTTAACCTCCATACTGAAGCTTTATGTTCAAACCACCACTGAATGCCACCTTTATCTCACTACATTAAAGGTCCAGTCTGTAGGATGTAGTGGCATCTAGTGGTGTAGTTGCAAATTGCAACTCACTTGTTTCATCCTCTGCATGATGATCCCCTATCTAGATACAGTGTTTGGTTTGTCCATTCTGGGCTACTGTAGAAAGATGGTGGTTCAACATGGCGGCCGCCACTGAAGGTGACCCGCAGTCTCTGTAGATAAAACAGCTCATTCTAAGGTAACAAAAACACAACGATTCTTATTTTCATTTGATTATTGGTCAAACAGAGGTCCTCAGTATTGTTTTCTGAAGGTTTGGGGGATTTTAACTACCTAAAGTGGTGTTTACATTCTACAGTTACACAGAAGTGATGGGGTTTTTCGTTATTGGAAATGTTGATATTCTGATATAAATTTTTTTCGCTTTTTTCAGTTGATCGGTTAACCGAGAAAATAACTGTCCGATTAATTGGAAAGGATGAGCCACAACTAGCTAGTGTTAGCAAAATAGTAAATAACTAGCTAGCTAATCTACACTAATTGTAAGCTAGCTAGTTACATTTGATGGCCAGGAAAATCACTAATTTAGATCAGTTGTTAGTTAGCAAGCATTTTACTAACATTAAGATGTGACTACATTTATATGTCGCTTTTATTTTTGAACAGTCTTTTAAATATAGTTGTCTTTTCAACATAGACGAGCCTAGCACATAACATAACTAACTACAGGAGAAGAGATTGTTATTGGAGCACAGACCAAAAAGGGGAAGGTCAATTCATTCATTTGTCAGCATTTCATTTTTACACATTCTATTGCAGAACAAACACTATGGAGGTTCTATTGTGCTGTCAAAGACACAGCTGATGTCTGTCCATACAACTCCTGAGCAGACCTGGGTTAGACTGATTTAAACAATAAAAGGATTTAATCAGATACAGTAGCATAGATTCTGTCCAGCAACTCCTTAGTAAAAGGCTACTAACCTCTCAGATGTCAATTCCATTTTGACCCAGGTCTGCTCATGACTCATGACTGTTTACTCCATCACTTCTACTCATGCCGACTGTACCAGTGAAACAGTTTCAATAGCTGTAATTAGCGGTCCTATCAACCTCCTAGTTTCCCTCTGTGTGTAATGTGTCTTGAAGGTTCTGTCAGCCAGAATTTGTACAGTAACTCACATGCACTTCCTCAAGCCTTAACGTTGAGTTTAATACTAATCTTACCAGACTGGAGTGCTTTAGCGCTTCACTTACTAGCTTGGCTTCTGTGGCTTTTTGTCACCAAGCCTCACAGACAAGGAGAGACATTTGAACCCCAGTACCAGGACTGCATTTTCACTGTAACCTAAAAATAGTAGCCTTGTGTGAGATATGCTGCCTTCCAGAGATGTTGGAAAAGTCTGAAAATAAAACAATGAATTTGCAGCTGAAAAAGTAAAATGGTAAATGACAAATGGAAAAGAGTAAATGCAAAAGGGAGGGGGGAAACCAACAAGATACTTTACCTTTTACTCTTTTTAAAATTCTTTTCTTTTTTATAGCCTGATTATCCACATTGTTGTGTAAACATATGTGTTTTTACCATATTCTGCACTTGTCATGTTAAAAAAGTATTATTGTTATTATTTTCTCTTAATTTTTCATTTTTTTTAAGTTGATACTGTTTGGTATTTTTTGTTCTTGAGAGCTCAGCTGTTGTCCTCAGTTGTCACTTGCTACACGGGAAGCAAATTTAACGTCATCCAAATGATTTTAATTTTTAGCTTCTGGTCTTCTTATTTTACTAATTAACTTATGGTTTTCTGTAACTGATCAGCTGTAAATTTCAGACTTCCAACTTCTGTATGGAACTGAGCCTCACATTTGGCCTTTTCACTGCATTTTCTCATCCTGTGTAAAGTCCGCCCAGGTGTCAGTCATAAATACACGTGGACCATGCAGGATACCCATTATCAGTCTTTAAAAACCTGACACCTGAAATGAAAGAAAAACGTTGGTAATGTGACCTGGTTTCTAGTTTTTGTTCACCAATGGGCTTAAAAAATGTGATTTAGATGGTGATGGGATAGAAGGACTTTATAATTGCAAACTGGAGGCCTTCACATGTTGTCAGTATTACTGTGGATATAACTGAACATCTTTACTTTTATGGCCATGGACTGCTGACATCAGTGGATTTGCTGCCTGTCCTTCCTGTGTTGACAACCTTACAATTTGTGATGCCAAGTGGAAGATGTAATCACCCAAAAACTAGTAATTACAATCAATTAGAAGTGAACATTTTGCAGCATATAGCTCATATTTACTGACAATCTGGCATGACTTGAAAGCACCATGTTTTCCTCTGCTTTTTTGCGATGTAACACAACACAAACACAAAATTGCAACACCAAATTACTGTTGATCAATATTTTTCTGCTGCATTTTGCAACTTTCCTTTCAGTTACATTTTTTAGTTTTTTTCTGTCATTTTCCACATTAATACCATGGTGTGTTTCTGTCTTTCTTTATCCCCTCTTGTCTTTTCCAGTAAGTCTGGAGGGAACTCTTCTTCCAGTGTAGAGGATGAGGTATCTGCCTCTATCCGACCTCTCATATCCTCGGCAGGTGAGAGCATCGGACAGGGGGAGAGGGCTGTTAATAGCCAGCTGCCAGCTTAGAGCCGAGCTTCCTGAACCGCAACAACATAGAGAGAATAAAATCTAAAGCCTTCCCATGTCTCTGCATAGAGCATAAGTTCACTTCGTAGAGTTGTTTTCCCATGATCCTCCTCTTCCTCCAGTTGAGGACTGCAGGCGCTCTGAGACTGGGGCTTACCACAGTGTGAACCCAACGACAAGACTATGAACCCCCCTGAACTGCACTCATGTGACTTTGTGAATATAACCTTAGGACAATAGAAATATTTTTTTATGTTCATAATGCCAGTTATCATTGATAGGTTTCATTTGTTAAGATTTGTGATGGAAAGTTGCTTATGTGAAGCATGTTTGAATGTTTCTAATATACTATGGCGACGACTCCCCCAGCAGCAGCTACTGACGACACTGTCACTGTCTTCTCTCCCCTCCTACAGGAAAGCAGAAACAGAAAGTGGTAAGTCGGTGACGGTAAAACCCACTCATTACCATCCACTAGACTCTTGTTGCTGCCATCATAAAATGACAGGAACTAGTAGCACTGGCAGGAAGTTACAACCTCATATCACATCCTAGGGCACATAATACTTCAGCCCTACTGAAGTATACAGTGCCAAATCATCACCATTTCTCTGATGCCAAAGTATTGAAGAGCCAACTGCAACTTCCTTTACACATACTCTTGATCTTAGTACTTTTGATAAAGTTTTGGGAAAAGCAGTTTTCAGCAGGTTTTATACAACTTATTTTTTGTAATTATCAAATTAGATGGTGTTTTCAGTGGTTTATGGTGTAGGGGATACCAGACGAAAATGCAATATTAAAGAAGAAGTTGTTGGAAATGTGGGGACATTTTCGTGCTGAGAATTGGAGAAGATCAATACCACTCTCATGTCTGTACAGTAAGTATGTACAGTCAGCTGCTTCTTAGCTTAGCATAAAGAACTTGGTAGCCAGCACTCACTTTTATGTGACTATAGTCACATCTTATGTTTGCTAATGTTAGCAAAACATTAGCTGACTAACAAAGTAGATAAGATAGCTAACGTTAGTTAACTAGTATTTTGCTAACATTAGCTTTCATATGTAACTAGCTAGCTAACTATTGATTTAGATTAGCTAGTTAGTTAGGTAGCATTTTGCTAACATTAGCTAGCTAACTTAAGATGTAACTATATATATATATAAATATATATATAAATAGAGCAACATATCCAGTAATGTTTACAGTTCACAATTAGGTTTTCAGGTATTTATGAGAACCAAATCCATAGCTAGTGTCCAATATGTTTTGGAGCTGACAGATAACCATGTTTAAATGTTAATAACAAAGAAATAGATTTATGTATTACGTTAGTAATACTGTAAAAATGAAATCATACATTTTTTATTTTGTTTGTCAGGCCTGCATCTTTAAATGAATTGGTTTACATAACTGCATACCGTTATCAGTATTATGACCACTTTGGCATGGTACAGTGTCGTGGTGCAACTTCTTATTGTGATACTTGGTCTGGTTTGTGTTAATTGGTTAGACTGTAGTTTTGTGACTATTTTACAGCGTCAGTGTAGCCATCATGTCCATCCATCCATGTAGCAAATGATAAAGCATTTATTAGTTGGTCAAAATGAAATAACATTTTCCTTTAAATGTGTTGAAAATATAATAATAATATATTGATTAAAGACCTATTGTATAACAGTTAAACGGTACATTAATGTGCTACATTGTCAGGAAAATGTAACAATCTTAATTTTACATGAAATACACACAAATTTTGTTTTTATTACATTTTGACAAGTTACATTATTATTTGCTACATGCCTCAACATGGCAACAACCATTTAACACATCTGATTGTAATTCAAGGTCAACTGACTCAGCAGTCCATTACAGCTGTCTGCTGTAATTGTCTTGTTTGTGACGAGCCTACTGCCGCTGATTAAACATGTTTGTGTTAACAGACGGAGCACATCCCCCCGTATGACGTGGTTCCCTCCATGAGGCCTGTAGTGCTGGTGGGACCCTCGCTTAAGGGTTATGAGGTGAGCTGCCAATCCTTATGGTTGGAAAGAAAACCAAAAATAACCTTTTACTTTTGTCACTGATTAATGGCCTTCGTTCAGATGCTATAAATAGCCCTGATGTAGCGTCACTGAATGACACCCAAAAACAGAGATTATTGCATGTGATGTTTGCCAGTGCGAAAAGGACAAGATTACATAAAGGAGATGAGTCTCATACTTCTATCCCAGATTCCCCTAAAAAATAGCTCGCTGTTGGCGCAGCTAATTGTGAGTGTGTCATCGCCCACGTAACATCCAGATTGCAGCCAGACTAACGAGGAGACTGAGAGGTCAGATGAAAATATGTTGTGTAATTGGCAGATTTCGGCTTTTCTGTGAAGAGTAGCTTCACATAACGGTCTCATTGCTTCCATTACAGTTTATAAATGTAGTGTGTACAAAGATTTCACTAAATATAAGGAACAACTAGTACTATAGTTGTCATTATGTACATAGATGATGAGGGGAATGCAAGAGCTATTAATCCTCATTGGAGAAGGTGTAGATAAACTGAAGCAGACAGTTTACATTATGGATTTTTTAATCGTGGGAGATGGAATATAGAATAAAGATGTGGCCTTAAACTCAGTATCAGAAACATATCCCTAATATTTAATGCTTTCAGTATTCAATGCTGCCACAGACAATGCTGAACATTAGCACAATATTATTCAGTCTGATTTTAAAGCTGCATTAATTGATTTTATTGCCACTTGGGCAAAAAGTTTACTATTTACACATACAGCAGACTCTCTGTTTAGCTCAGTTTTTGGTCTCCACCAACTCCCAAGGGAAATATTTGGCTGTCGTTTGGTGATAGGTAGGATACATAGAGGGAGAGTTTACACTAGCATAGTAAAAGTATTGACAGTTTTTGAATGTAAACCGGACCATCTGAGTCAGGGTCTGACTGAGGCTCATACATGTAGGCTATGGCTGAATCTCTCTGGAGAGAGAGCATTCTGGCCCAAACAGGCAGCAGTAAGAGTTAATTATTGACAAACAACTAAACAGATAACTCACAAAATAAGAATTAAACATAAATGTAATTATAAAATCATGAATAACATTTCTAATACAATCGTGTAAAAGAGTTCACCCTGAAAACATAAATTGCAGCTTAAACAACCGAACAACCAAAGAAATAACAAAGACCAAAACAATAACTACTTTTTTACGTCCTTCTCTTCTTCTTCTATGCAGGTAACCGACATGATGCAAAAAGCATTGTTTGACTTCCTCAAGCACAGATTTGATGGCAGGTAAGACGGATGTCATTTGTCCTCTGTAAATCAATATTTTTTACACCCCTACTATAATGTATTTATTCAGCTTGAATATGAAAGTTATGGGGAAAACCATTTTTATTAAACAGCCAATACTTAACAAATGTTGGGAAAAGTTTTGGCCAACCACAAGCCTAGTAGCCTTCTTGGCAGGATGCATCGTTGAGTGTTGATATATTTATAATATGTATACATATATATATATAGTGTGTATATATAATATAATTTTCTCTGCACGTCAATGAGGATCTGATAAATGCATCTAGGTGAATCCGTTTTTGTGTTTAAACATTTTTTGTCCCGTTTTACAGGATATCGATCACACGAGTCACAGCAGATATATCATTAGCCAAGAGGTCTGTTCTCAATAACCCCAGTAAGAGGGCCATCATTGAAAGATCCAACACTCGCTCCAGCTTAGGTAAGAACATAACTGCTTTTTACATCATTTTTACATGTAGAAAAATGCAAGAAAAGATAAATAAATGACAGTTTAGACAGGCCTGTGTAAATTCCTAAAGTATTCTCATCTAAACTACAGTATGTTCAAACATGCATTCACTGATTTTTAATGATGTTTTTAATGCAAGTTGGGGCAGCAGAAATGAGCTGTGAGCATAACACTGACACGCGTTAGACTCTATCAACTCCTAAGAAACAAAGCACAATTCAATTTCTAGAAGTTCTTTGAACTTCACTGGATACCAGTACTAAATCAGCAGGTAAGTTATTGTAAAAATGTCTAAATTTGTATTTGAATTGCATTTTGTCTCACCAGCTGAGGTGCAAAGTGAGATTGAGAGGATCTTTGAGTTGGCCCGCTCCCTGCAGCTGGTGGTGCTAGACGCTGACACCATCAACCACCCAGCCCAGCTCCTCAAGACCTCCCTGGCCCCCATCATCGTTCATGTTAAAGTCTCCTCACCAAAGGTAACAAATGTTGGGAAGACTTAGCCAAACATGAAAGACACATATGAAAGATCAGTTTAACTCTCTGTTACAAGCTCAGTGGCAGGTTTACCTGAAATGTTGTTTTTGACCTGCAAATACTAACAGCTAGTTTTCTTTTAGTTTCTATGTAGTGTTTTGTTAGCCCACACAAACCCCTTTTATTGAGTGGGTTACATGGACTAATTAGACTAATCATAATGTCAAAACTGAACAAAACAAGACTTTAAGTGTGTAATATATTCTCCACAGCTACTGTTCCACACAGTCATTCAGTTGTTGGAGATAAACAGCAAGAACACCTAGACATGTTAAAGGTAACGGTCTCTATGCAAGGTTGATATTTACAATCCACTTGTTGCACAAGCACAATGTTCCCTACAAGCATACCAGCATGAAATACTGTGCTTTAAAGCCACATTTAAAGTAGAGGCATTTTAACTTAGTGTTTGGAGTCAGTAGAGGCTTTAAATCTGCACCAAGTCATCTGCACAGTGGCACCTTTGCATGGAAGAATAGGTCTGCTGCACTTCATCCCTCTGCACTGGGACCACAGCAACGACCAGACCAGGTGTGTGGGTGTGGAGGGTGAATAATCTCACAGAGAGAATCTCCCAGATGCTACCACAGATCGGCAAAGACTTCAAACAGTGATTGAAACAGTGCACTCGTTTAAAGACAGTCACATTCCTAGTCAGGTGACTTTCACACTTGTTTTACACCACACCCTCCTAGCATGTAAAATGCTCGCTTTGCTACAGCTGACCAGGAAAACCTCAGACCTACGATAACAGACACACTTTAATATGCAAACCTGTAAAAAAGGTACAACTGAAACTTATTTTTTCTCTCAAGAACCCTGGTGACATTCACCAATAAAGATGCTAGAACATTAAAGGTACTGTAAGTGAAACTGGCATTTTTCAACTTCCTGTCCGTTCTTGCAGCTAGCAGTCCCCTCCCCCCCTCCCCACTGCTGCCTGCCCTTGAGGAGTCTTTGTGGAGCTCTCTTTCCTGATTGGATAAAGTGGGAACGGGCTACCAGAAAAGTATTCTCTGTTAACTGCAGCAAGGAGAGACTGGGTGACCCATGTTACTGACTGAATACTCTATATTGGTGATGGCTGTCAGATTGTGGAGCTATTTAACGCTTATTTTAACAAAACAATATCACTTACAGCATCTTTAACATGCATAATGTGTAGCATACATTAAGTGGATTAAGTCAGGCTATTTGCCACAACCCTGAATACAGCAATCAATCTGGTCATACATTTATACGTAAGGTTCCCTATTCCTGCCTGATGTGTGTATATATTTATGCTGACAAACCTATGACTAGCATTATTAAATCTGCACACACAATAACATTCTCAGTTGTGTCACAGGGAAAAATGTATCCCGTTGCTCGTTATGAACTTGATTTTCACACTCATCATGTGATGAGGAGGGTACCGGGTGACTTAAACGTGCGCACCTAAGACTACTTTTGGCTCAGTGTAACTGGAGCATCATGTACTTTTCCTACCCCAACCCCCCCGCCCCCCCATCCAGGTTCTGCAGAGGCTTGTCAAATCCAGAGGGAAGTCCCAGAGCAAACACCTGAATGTGCAGCTTGTGGCAGCTGACAAACTGGCCCAGTGTCCTCCAGTAAGTGGCCATCCTCCTGTACTGGCATCTCCTGAGCTCAAATATGATTCAGATATATTTTTATTCTGACTTTTAGGCCTTGAAATGTCTGTAAATGTCTTAAGTATGATTTTGACAGGTCTTAATATTGATTGCACTAATGTTACTTGTATAAAGTTAAATTTTTAAGTTTAGCTTTTTAATGGGTTTTAGGGAAAAATTTTTATTGATCATGCTGTAACAAATACAAAATGAAACAAACATGGACCAAGAAGTAATTTTCCTTCATATCCTTAGTACTTCTTTTGCCAGTATGGTCTTACAAAGGTCTTTAAAAGTATTAAATTTAACCAAATCTACAGAAACTCTGAATAAAGAATAATTAAGTGAAATACATTGTCAACCAATTGGCTGAGAGCTGCTTCTTCTCTCTTACTCTATATTACAATATTACACAATAAATCACAGCGCACTCTGCTGGATAAACTTTGCAATGACACCAATGCATTACCACAAGCATTTTGTTCTGTATTATATACTGGAAAGAAATTTTTATAAATTATATGTTTTCATATTCATATTCATATATATATACACACACACAAATATGATATGTGATATGATGATGTGTGTGATAGGCCGGTATTGGAAGATAATGTAATCTGATATTCGGCCTATTCCTGAATTTTATTGGAGTTTGTTGTCTGAATTTGTTCATACATAATTTGACTTCAGTTAAGTAAAGTTCATGTTGTTTCAGCCAACACAACAGATGTTTATTCAGTCCAACCGATCATCTCCTGCATGTAAATCTTATATTTTGAATTTTCTGTACTCACATTATATATTCAGAATGACTTATTTAAATACAATAGAATACTAATAATATATAATATATGAAGTCTTTACACAGTACATAGTAACACAACAGGACCTCATATACAATGTCACTGTGGAGATCATTTGTGTTTCCATCATGAGCTTCATACCTACTCCCCTCTGACCATCTGCCGCTAACAGGAAATGTTTGACATCATCCTGGACGAGAACCAGCTGGAGGACGCCTGTGAGCATCTCGCCGAATACCTCGAGGCCTACTGGAAAGCGACCCATACCTCGATGGCGACGCCCCTAAACCCCCTGCTGGGACGCAACCTGGGCCCCACCACCCTCACCCCCTACCCCACCACCATCTCTGGACTGCAGGTACACATCCAGTAGTGTCAGGGTCCCTTATGGGAATAATTGACTGATTGTGGGTAGTTATTGAGGAGATCGTGAAGGTAAGAGAGGAACCCAGGAGAACAGGAATCATCTGCTTTTTATTCAAACCCTTCGGGATCTGCCAAACCTCCTGACTCTACAGTATATTTGATCTAAAATGCATATGAGAGGAACAGTGGCTAGACTTCAAGCATTCCCACACCATGTCTAAATTTATGTGTGAGACAAAACCAAGCAAGTAGTTTCTGTTGCCTCTTGAAAACCAAATACATAATTTCTTCTAAAATTTCTGTCAAAAATGAGCCTTTCATTAGTTTGAATGAGCATTTGTGTCAGTTTAAAGACATGGTCTGGTGGCCCTATAAACAAAATAAAACATAATCCTCAAACACACTGCCAGTTGGTGAAACTCGCCATCCTCTCCTCTTTTCTTAGCAAGCATTAAAAGCCAAATATTGTTTTGGCTGCTGGAGATGGGTATAATAGACCATATGTACGTTAGTGTTTAATTACGTGTGAGCACAGTAAGCCTTCCTCTTCTACACATTGCACATTCTACAAAGGATAATGTTACCTTGCAGTCTTTCCGAGCCCTACACATTGACGTCCAGTCCTTTTATTGTCTGTTGGTGTTGTCTCTAGCCTTACCCGTGTCCTTGGTATGTTCATGTGATTAGCAGAGCCAAAGAATGCGACAGAGCAACCACACGGGAGACCATTCCACCCCGAACGAGCGACGTAACCTGATGACATCGGACGAAAATTACCACAACGAGCGGGCGCACAAGGGACGCAATCGCATGTCTTCTGGCTCACAGCATAGCCGAGAGCAGCAGGACCCCTACCAGGACTACCAGGACCCCTATCAGGATGCATACAAGCCACATCGCAATCGCAGTTCACCGGGCAGCTACAGCCATGACTCCCGGCACCGGCTCTGAGCCAAGTTCTATCATCACCAGGGCCCAAACGGCCCAGATTCCACCTGAAATAAACGCTGCAACAGAGCCAAGATGGTCCCAAATTGTACCTTTTTGTTTTGGTTCGCGTTCATTTGTTTTGTCTACCTGGCTATTTTTCTCTTTAAAAGTCCAACAAAATCATGTTCAGGTGTTTGTTTTTAACCAAGCTGCCAGGGCAAACCCCGTCAATCAACAGCGCGAGTAGTCACAAGGTTCAGGATGCCAACATTAACTAATGCTGTAAAATGAATTCCTTAAATTTCTCTTCCTGGGACCTTTTGGGATTGTACTAACACGATGCTTAGCAGACGTGCAAAGCAGACTGTGCTTGTTGCCTGTGTCAGCAAGCTAATTATGGATAGTGGTCAGATGGTGATGGTGTATGGGCTTCTACGTGCCTGGGACATCGCACCAGGTCAGAGGGAAGTCCACTGCACACAGACTGCTGAAGGCTGCTGCCCCCTACCCTGGGCCATGTATAAATCCTCTCACCATTTAGCTTATTGCATGCTGATAGACGACCAACCTCCGCATCCACTTCACTGATATTTTGTACCTAGCATTCTGGATTCTCCAGCGAAGAGGTGTAGATACGGAGGTCCAATTTTCTAAATCACCTGATTGTGTGGATAAGACGGTAGGTGGTGGGTTTGCGTGGGGGTGTGCAGATGATATCTGGCTGCTAGTTTCGAAAACTGGTGCTTCACATTCCCAAACTATTTTGCTATTTGAAAGTCACTTTGAGCAAGGCCAGCTTTTCTGTAGCATAGCTTTAGGATTTCATTTGGGTGAAGACCCTCACCGTCATAAGCGGAGCAGATTCTGATGGTGCTGGGATCAGATCTCAGTTACACTGTAGGAGAAGGCAATACTGCTTCTGTTCTTAACAGCGAGCACTTAGAGAGGTAGAGAAGGCAATAGCTGTGACAGTTTGTCTAGTATAGTGAAATACAATAGCAAAATATGACTTGAGATGCCGTTTGATGTTGCTAAGATGTGGACCAGCATAGAAACCAATGCTATGAGAACCTTTCAAGCAGTTTGGGATGTTCTCGCTGATATTTTTGACCCTGCTAGCGCGAGGAATCAGATTTGGGTACGGTGTGATCGACCTAAAAGAGCATCTGCTGCTGAAACTACAGGTTGCATTAATTAGCATCATAATACAAGTTGTATAGCATTAAAACAAAAGTACAGATGTTGGTTAAGTCTTGCGATTGGTTCACGGCCATCAAATTTTCCTTCCTGTGGTTTTAGGTGATCAAAGCATTAAAAATGTGACATGGCAGGATCGGTTGCATCATGTTCATTCTCTGTGTAGCTGGCATGTTGTCCTGACTGCAGAGCATGTTCCCTCCAAACGTAAAATAGAACCCTACTGTAATCAAGTTGATGTTTGTAGAAGTATAGGGCACCTTTCTCCGAAAAAAAAAAGACAAAAAAGAAAAAAGTAAAAGATGGCCCAAATTACAGATGAATGATTTCTCTGGATCCCTGGGGGTTTTTAACTCAATACACTGAAATGGCTAACGGAAAACTTTAAGTTATGGTTTATGTCATTCTGAAAGTTTTAAGGAGTTTCAGTGGATTGCATGACTCAAAGGTGGAGCCACTATAACGATAACAGCTTCTGTTAATTCTGAATTATGTTATAAGTGCACTCAAACAACAACAGTAAAAAAAAAAAAAAAAAAACCCAGCCCTCACAAAAAGGTTCAGTGGAGATCATAAGTTTACCTAACCCACATGGTGCTTGTATGGAAAGAGATAGCTGCTGTGGTCGATAATGTTTATAAGGCTTGTTATCATTATCATAATATACTGTACATATCTTATTTTTTAAGATGATTTTGACTTAATTCTCTCATCTTCAGATAACAAACAGTTCTAGCCAGACATTTTTTAGCCTGAAAACAAAACAGGCTTTAAATTAATAATGCATTAGGGTAAATATAGAACATTAAATTGAAAAGAACACTTTTTTTGTTCAGCGAACTCAGTCTACATAGTCTAGCCACAAATTCATTCCTCTCATCTTTGACAGAAAGAGGCATCCGAAGAAAGTAAGAACCATTTGTTATCTTGAAATACTGAGATAGTTAAGTTTATCTCTATGAACAGGTATCTGCATATAAGTCTTTATACGAGGGACCAAGACTTAGAGTCTGAGTAGTATTGACCAATGACATTTGAGCGGGCTTTGGTTGCATGCAGGTAAACAGTCCGTGTCCAGAGCTAAGGAAGGGGACGCCTTGGGTGGTCTTGGTCTCGGAAACCAGCGGCTATCGTGCCAATCGGACTGCAGAGGAAGTCTTTGCCTGGATATCCGTTATTCATTTTCTGGCAATCCAAAGGCCCGAAAGGTTGGCAGTGGCCCCCAGAGGCTAAATCGTCACACAATAGCCAATGGGTTCTGAGATTGGTTAAGTTGTTATCTTGATGTGATACAAATATAGTAATTAGGAAAAACCACAAGAAGAGTAATGAGACTTTTTGGCTGCTCGTAGCCTCCGTAGATTTTGACGGTGAGCTCTTTCTGGAATGACTAGGAAACAGACTGAAGTGTGTGATCTGATTCATGTGTTCTCTGGCAGTGTGTCTTTGTTTTGTCTTCGCTACAGTTCAGAAAGTGTTTGTTTACTTTCCTTGGACTACAACAATCCTTTGTTATGCCACAAAATGTCACAATCAAGATTCAAATAATGTTATTTTATTTACCTGTATGGAGGACCAAACCTGACATAAATGAACTGATAAAAGATTAATAATTCAATTAATAATGAGATAAATAATTCAAAGTAATTGGACAAATAAATTATATTTTATAAGTAGAAAAATGTATCTATAAAATGCTAAATGTCTCCATAAGACGAACCAAAAACACACTGCCAGGGAAAAATATCTTTTTCCTGATTTGCTCTCTGATATCAGATATGTACAGTATAATCACATATTTGTCAGAGAAGTTTTCTTTAGCATGTTTAGACAAATGTTGAAGCTGCTTTTGACACTTTGACCCCTTCCTTCCTTTCAGACAAAAACGATGTACAGTAGTGACCGCTGTAGCACCAGATTAGCTTGGTGCTAAACAGTGAATGTACCAGAAAATAAATACAGGCTCAATAGAGGATCCATTCCCTTAAATAGAACGAATATAATACATTTTTTGTCTTAAGATCTATAAAGAGTGCTATCTAAATAGTTAAGATTTGAATACCAAAATTATTAATCAAAAACTGCTTTGAAAAGAAAATAAGTTAGGAGCTGCTGCTTTTTTTAATTCAGTCATAAATAAGTAGAAACTTGTGCCCGGTATGTTAAAGTACGCATTATGGGTTGCAGCACTGTTGGCATTATCTGTATCTGTTCAACCAACTCAATGATCTGTAGCTGTACTTGGAAGGGGGCGGGGCTTAAACGAACGTGGGCGGGCCAGCCTGGAAGATGTTCATTTACGTAAAAACTATAGACTTCAGTTTCTAAAGAAACAGGTCAGCAGGAACGTCTTAAAAGTGCTTCATCTCTTACCGCCACGCTCTCTATCAAATGCTTTATTTGAATCTTAAAGAAGTCGACATCAGCTCTGCCCTACATAGGAGATATTTGACTGTCCAGAAGAATTTTACAGCCTGACACAGTTTCAAAATATCTTTAAGCGACCTAATTTGCAAGACCTTATTAAAGCAACTTTCAAAGGAGAGCATGGTTGAAACGCCACACGCCTCCTCCTTTTTATACCCCGACAACAACCTAAAGCCTGACCTGAAAGCAGCTCTTAATTTATTAAATACAAAACAATGGAAGGTGTTTCTATTAATAGACACTTTGTATAGATCTGGATGAAAGGGGAAACTCATTTTGAGAAACTTGTATAGCACAAAAGAAAAAGCAACTGTTCCTACAATGTGAATCTAGTACTCGGGTACAGATTATTAGATGTTTTTGCCCACATTCCCCATTAATCTCTTTGTTGTACACTGTTTATGGACTGAAACAAGACTGCAAATGAAAAAAAGAAGTGTTAAAGTGTGTAATGCTACTGTTTACAGGCACGCTTATCTGTCTCATTCTGCCCCATAGCATTAATCCCATTGGTTGATTGAACAGGGAGCCATGTTCCATTAAAAATCAAACCAACTAATGTTGAGCTGGGCTGCTTGAGACAATCAGAAGGGATTTCCAGACCAGTGTTCCACCCTCCCTCTCTTTGGGAACGCCCTAAAATGATGAGAGGTTTGCCATTTTGAGTCGTGGAATTAGATCCGAACAAAGCGACGCCACACTCGCTCACACACCTCAAAATAACTGTCCGTCCTGGCTCTCTCTTACTTTTGTCTGACCTTTACCCGCGGCCAAACTTTTGTCTCAAAATGAAGCTCATGACTAATTTTATTTTTCACTGATTAAATCTCAAGGTGACCACAAAATTCTGAACTTCTAGGGAGGGCTTTCTTTGGTAAAATGTAAAACAAAAGAGGAAAAAAAAGAAGCAAAAGAACAAATATTTATTCCAGTAGAGAAGTCATAGATTAATATTTGCTGGCGATTATTTTTATAACAAATAAATGTACATAATGTCTTTGAGAGATGCTATTTGCTGTATACATGTGCTGAAATGAGACAACGACCCATGTGGGACACTTGGAACAACAGCAAGGTCCAGTATACAAAGTTTCAGTAATGTGCAATACAAAACGGCATGCTGTTTTAAAATGAGGAACTTCATGTACTGTACTATGCAACCGCAAACTGTGTACATCGCTTTCATGCTGTGGCTTCTCCAACCACCCTTTTCCAAGCAGCTTCATCTGGACTTTTAAGGGATTTTTGTGTTTCTCTCTTTTTTTTTTCTGTGGAAGATGAAAACCTAAGCGGTTAATGCGGTATTGCATGCATAATATACCATTCTAATTTATAAAAAGGAATTAAAGAAAAATACATGAAATTGGAGGTGATTGTGTTTAAGGCAAAGCTACAAGTGACTTAAAACATTTCTTTTTCAAAATAAAAGAGTCGTTCTAAAGTTGTCTACAGTAGTTTTTTACTGTAACGAAGGTCTCAGAAGCACTCACTCTAACTTTGTTGTAGTTTGTTGATGAATTGATTCTCAATTTGTGACCTCTTGATTTCAGATCATTAAGAAAATGAAGGAAATAGACAAAGGACTTGGCGGCACAACAATAAAAGCACATTTTTAGGCAGTTGCCAAACTGTAAACCTGAACCTGTGTGAAGCCTGGTATCTAGTGGTGAAAAGCCGGTACTGCAGAGAGCAGAGGTTTTGAAAAATAGTGTCAACAGAAATTATAAGTCGACCACATTTTTAACAATTGTTGCAAATTAAAAGCATGCCAAATGAGCTATTAGCACTTCCTGTTCGCAGTATAAACGGGAAGTGCATTTACAGCTATCATGGATTCATTTCATTTAAGAAAACTTGTGATGATTCTCAGTCCTGAAATTATTATGAGCTTTTATATGATTCCTAAACAGATTTGTGGAAGTTTACTCGCAATGTACGTGTGTGTGTGTGTGTGTGTGTGTGTGTGTGTGTGTGTGTGTGTGTGTGTGTGTGTGTGTGTGTGTGTCATGTCTGTTTGTTATGTTATGCAGATTTTACCGAGTTATGCCCGAACTACAATAACTAACTTGCTGTTGCTTTATACACCGGTGTTCCTGTAAATATGTGTATTCTATGGAAGCCCATTTCTGCAAGTAAAATAACAAAAATAAGATGAAAAATATCCCCATGGTCATAATTATGAAATATAAAGTCATAATTGTGACATAATATGTCATAATAATGTAATAATACTAATTCATCTAATAATAAATTTGACTTTGTACCTCATAAATTCACTTTCCCATCCTCCACTGGGGTCAGAATATTCTCATACAGCATCAGTGACTGGTGCTGGTTGAAACTCTGGAGAAACGTGAAGAATTGTTGGACTATGACAAGTAGAGAAGAATCTAATTTAACACAACAAACGGTGTAGTCCAAGTGTCCTCTTTTGTTTCACTTCATCTGGATTTATACTGTGATCAACATTTCCTTATTTTGGTAGGACTATTCTTTCTTTAAATCATACTATTATTATTAGATTAGATTATTTTATAATTGTATAAACTAGCTCTAACTTAAATTCATCAGATAGTATGTATTAATTGTGTTTTTGTTAGTGAACATCAACCCTAAAAGGCATTTATCTGATATTTAGAATTAGTTAAAACTATTGTTTTTAAGAGGAAATCATGAGGCTATAAGATAATATTTATTAAAATTTACAATTTTTGTGGATTTGTCTTTTCAATTTGACCTTTTTTGTTACTACCTGTTCACAACATGTATTGGAACGCTGTAACTTTGCATTATTGCTAAAAACAAGAAACAATAATATATCATATTGAGTATTATAATTTTAAACCGTATAAGCAAGAGAAATCATAAAAACCATAAACACAGCCTGCAGACACGTTTGATAAGAACCTGTAAGACTCATTTCCTGACACAGGATGTGTTCGATTATATCATGCTTGTTGATCTGCCAGAATGGAAGAATAAAAATCATTGATGTGATATGAACACAGTAGTAGACACGTGATGGCTGAGCAAACGGGAGAGTTTGCAAATCAGTAACAGAGCTGCTGAGCTCAGCTGATGTTTGAACTGGAACTTTTATCACACACGGATCCGTTCTGGCTTTCCCCAGCGCTGAACAAGCAGTTTGTAAGTAGAACACAAACAGTCACTGCACCCTGCAAAACAGAAAAAAACCATCCACCTGTAGAGGTCATCGGGTCTTAAGTCATAAGACGGGACTTTTATTTTCAAAAGCAAGCACTACAAATGGGGTTTCCAGTGCTCAGTGCACATGAATCTGCAACCATATATTCAATTGCATTAAAGGTGCAGTAATTAGTGTTTTATTCTGTCGGTTGTCTTCTGCTTAGCTAATTTTAAGATGCTTGTTTCTATTGTTAAAATCTCACTTTATTTCTCTATGTTGGTCTAGTGCCATGATGGGTTAGCAACAGACAGACATCATTTCAAGCTGTAGGTGATTGACAGTTCTGTGACTCAATCAGATATCAGCTGGAAATCTTCTGTACCTTATTAGACAAATGTACGGCTAGTCTTTGCATTCAATTTGGAACAGTGTTCCATACATTGCTGCCCAAAATCTATTTAATCTTTTATCTTGAGGCTTTGAAAATAACTTCAACTTTGTGTCATTTCCTCTCTGGACCAGAAAGTCAATGGAGCACAAGTTTATTATTGCAGAAATATCGGCATCTATAGGCCCACCCTAACATTGTCATGGGGTGTTGTTGTCTTCTTGTGTGTGTCGTGTTTCATTCATTTCATTGGCTTATGGACCATGGACATAACGAAGGACACAAAAGCTAAACATTCATTCTGTGAACTGTACTCTTATGCTGTTTTATACCAGATTCCCACCCTACCTGTGTTATGTAACTTAAAAATAATGACATCACAATAACAAGATAATTCCTTTGTTTAGGTGGCAGGAGTGAAAATTAGTCATCCTCAACAGCTGTTGTGCTATGGTTTCAGCACGATGAAGGCAGTTGATACAAAATATGATGTGGTTCTACAGGATACTTTTTTTTTACTGGACAAATCATGTTTTTCCCAAATAATATCCAGATATTTAGGCACTCTAGTATCATGACTGGGTTGAAAAATAATGCATATAGCTGCTGTAAGTGGGAAGAATCGCCCCTGACCCCCCTAAGCTCTGAATGTTCACAACATCTGGCTCCCCCCCTGTTAAGAAGGCCAAAAGTTAATAAATGTTTACATAATTTTGAACATAAAAAAAGAAAAGAACATAAAGATGGCTGAAATGAATTCATGATTGAATTTATATTTAGTTGGTTTTGCAGTTTATAGAACTTTCTCAAGACAGTACGGAGCTACGATAACTGCACTACAGGTTGAGGATATAGCATATTGCATCACAATTACACTTCCACTGTTGTTTCTGCGATTATTCATAAGCAGGGACAATTCTTTGAAATTACAATGTTCAGTGAGGTGGTGCGTGTTGTATCAGGGCTTCTCCTGACCTTCAAACCTTTTGTCTTTTTTGTCCAATTTTGGAGCAAAGCGCGGGTAACTGCAGTGTTTGAACACTGTAGATTTCCTTTCATTAGTAAGAGCCATCAGTTATCAAAGAGGTACTTTATGAGAACCTCACTGCTGGCCTATAAAAGCACTAAATACCACGTTTAGCACATGATCAGGTGACACTCTGCAGCGGTCGGTAATGAAGTGGAACGAGATCAAAGTGGAATTAAAAGTGGAGAAAGTGCTCTGCCACCCACTGAGATGAATGGACTTTGAAGCAGTCATGTGTGAACCTCGATTAAATCTATCATGTTACAAAACTGCGAAGAGGTGGTACAGTATTCTACGCTTCAACAAAAGCATCCTGTTCCAGCAACTTAAATGCAACTAACATTACTCATTATTTTCAATATGAATTAGTGCTCAGTTGATTAATTGTTTAATGTATTAAATGCTAGAAAATAGCAAAACATGCACATCATAATTTCCCACAGCTCAGAGTGACATCTTTGACCAACAGTCAAAACCAACCAAATAAAGACATTTGATTTACCATGATACAGAACAGAAATCATCACATCTGAGAAACTGCAAACAGTTGTATTTTTGCTTGATAAATGATTTAAATGATTAATTATCGTTTAATGAAAGAGTTAATGATTCATTTTCTCAGTTATGTCATTGTGCCATATTTAAGTCCAATGAGCGATGGTCACCATAAAACCATCACCAATCTAAAAGCAACTAGTTGGTTTTCATTAATAAATGTCTATATATATAAACTATTATTGGATGTTAGTTAAATTGTTTTGTATATTGTTGAACAAAATCATGTAATCGAATAGAATTCAGTAATTATTACAAATTAGCTAAACCATTACAATCATTTATTGCAATTTTGTACAGTTATGTAATCATTTACATTTATAACTGAGAAGTAAATTTGGATTTATGTATGTATTCATTTGTTTACTTAGTTATTTAATGGAATGGGAGCTCTGGCCCTTTAAGAGAGCTGTGGATCCATGAATGAAACGCAGCCATTCATAAAAAACACAAGGGACGGACGTCAGTGCAGCCTTGAACACGATTGGCTCGCCCTTTGACTGACTTTGCGTTCCAGCCAATGGGAGCGCAGCAAAGGGCTCGGTTTAGATACAGCGATCGGAGCTCTTCATTGAGAAAAATCCACAGCCGAGTTTTTATTCGAGGAGCTGCAGGGGATGTAGGGGAGGAAATCTGCGTCCACATCATTTCTCACACTGCCAAGAAACTTCACTTATCACGTGAGTGCTGCATTATTATTCTTTTACCGGAATAAAAGCTAGCGAACACGCGCGGGCTGGTTTTGCTTTGTTTTGTGACATAAACGTCAAGCGGGGACCGTCGGTGTGTCGCTGGCAGAGAAGGGAGCAGATATGGGTTAAGAGGCGAACGCCATTTTCTGAAAATCAAAGGCAACATTGCGTCCATTTCCTCGCATCTGTCAGGTCGGCAGCGCGGTATTTCCGTCTGCAGCAGCTGTCTTTACGGCCTGTTAGCACCGCGAATCTTTCTCTGTGCTCTGTGGCAAATTTCTCAATGGTGAGCTTACCCCCCCCCCGCCACGATCAAGTTTCACTTCATTGAGAAAAACAAGGAGGTCCCACGATACGTGCTGTTCTCTCCTGTGCGTCACGCCAAACTCCATTCACAAATCTTTCCTTTTTGTTGCTGTATTGATTTATTGATTGATTGGTTGCTTTATGACCGCGCTGTGCTGGCCCACACGCCGGGTTGGAAGCACCAACAGGAGGAAGCCGGTTCATTTAATTTCGTGCTGACATCGTTACAGCGAACGAAGCAAACTTCACTCACACTTTTCTGCTGTTATTATCGCGACATTCTGCAAACAAAAGCAGCTGTAGGGAGAGGGGTTGTTTACCTACG